CAGAGAAACTACACTGGCATCATAGTTGTCCCCATGTAAATGTAACGTAACAAGGTAAAAAGTTACACCCTGTCATTGATATATCCACAACACATCCTAGTCTTTAATCAAGTAGGAGTGACACTTAAAAATAGTTCAAGAGCCTAAAGTGTTTTGCTATCTGAACAGCAGAGGGCAAGTATTTAACTCCAGGGCTACGGCCCACCCACAGCAAATACAGGCATTTTTACTTTCAAAATTAGGCATTCAAGGCTCTCAGGTTTTTTTCCAGCAATATATTCCATGGTATTGTAATATTGATGTCCATTTATACCAGTATCACCATAACTCTTTCTGGATATCATACTGACAATGTTTTGGAGTTCTCTTACCACATTGTGTAATAACAATAATCCCTGCTGTTTGACTGAATACTTCTCGGCAATGGAAGAGACAAGCCTTGGAAAAACATTGTAGACATGATGGACATTCTGTTTGCCACTTCTTTCCAGGACCAAGCAGATTGTAGGGTTCCCTATGAATTCTTGCCACAATTTGACTGAATTTCTTAACTGTTTATGTTTGTAATTTTTTAATTTTTATTTTTCACAAGCATATGTACAAAGAGTGAGGTGATTTTTTAACGAGAAGGTAGGATGAATGATTTACCCTATGGGATACACTCTTGTCATGTAAACATGCCAGAAATGCTCATGAATTTCTCCAAAGCAAATATTTTTTCAACAGTATAAGATTAGCAAAATCTTCTATATCACTTTGGTTTTTAGACCCGTGCGTGGAAATACACAATAAACATATGGGGGTAAATTGGTGAAAGGAAATGGCATGGCCGTATCAATTTGGTTTTTAGACCCGTGCATGGAAATACACAATAAACATATGAGGGTAAATTGGTGAAAGGAAATGGCATGGCCACATTCCTTTACAGTCTTGTAAAGGAATTTTAGTATTGGAAACAGTTCTGTATTAGTATAAGGTACATAAGGTAATTGGGTGCTTCAGTGCAAAGGTTTTAGATAGGCTAAATTGACAATAATATCACATCTGTGCTCCCACTGTCGTTGTTGTTAAGTAACTGTAAAGATCATCCAATAGTGAGTCCAGTGTACTGTGAAATGCAAGTTCTTTAGCCCAAACTAGAACACAGTAAAATAAACTTTGAAGTGACTAAAATGAAAACAAAATCTGACCATAAATATACAGTATGGTGGCAGGAAACAAGGATACCACGTTATGACCAAGTACCCAAGAGATGCTCATCACTCTTAGCTCAGCAGCACGCATGCACAATCACATGCTGAGGTGGGCATGCACAAAGACAGACACACAAGAATCCACTTTAGGTAGCTGCAAAATAAAAAAAGGTATTTCATTGGAATAACTTCTTGATCTGCCATAGTGGTTCTGAAAATGTAAATGTAAAACAAGCTGGCAAATATTGTAGGGAAAGCAGGGAAGAGTGGTAAAACAGGAGTATGGGTAAGAGGGAATAAAACAGAGCAGATCCAATTAACTTAGAGAAGCATGTGCCACATGCTAAAAGATTGACCAACTAGTGTCCCTGAAATCTGTCCACATGGGTGAGGATCTCTAATTCTCTAAGGGCAAAAAAAAAGTTATGAAAATCCAGTTAAAGGATTTTACTAAAATAGAAACCTTTCTCCTACCAGTAATATGTAAAAATATGAATAAGAATACTAGAAATATTACTCAGAACGGAATTCAGGAATATCAAATAAATTACCAAATAAACGGAATAGACTATATCCACGACACTAGACAAAAGAAAGTCAGTGATCTTCTGTATCAGAAAGGCTGTCTTGGACCTCAGAAATACCAGTGCCAGTAGAAGAAGAGAGGTGCCAGTCAGAACCAATGTATCTCAACATCTCCTAAAAAACAAACTTACTGATATAATTATTGTAATTTACAGGAGGATTTGAATTAAACTAGTCAGTATGAGTGACAAATGCTGGCCAGAGAAACAAGAAAACTAGCTAATGCTTCATGAAGAAGCTTACATGTCATTAACCTCTCACATACATTTTATTAATTTTTTTAAAGATAAGACTGCAGTAACACGAGAAAAATTTGAGTAAATGAACAACATTTCAGTACTAGCTAATGCTTCATGAAGAAGCTTACCAAGAATTAACCTCTCACATACATTTTATTAATTTTTTTAAAGATAAGACTGCAGTAACACGAGAAAAATTTGAGTAAATGAACAACATTTCAGTCTTATTTGTTAAAATCAACACAAGAGCATTAACTGACCTCCAATAGATTGTTCAGGAGACTGTCAAAACTTACTAATTGATACATTGTGAAAAGTGTATGTAATTAATGAAACTCAAGGATCTGAGTTTTATCTTTAATTATTTAATCACTATAAAATGCCATCTTAAATGGTCTACTTTGCTATAAATTCTTGCATAAAATGTATATAAACCTAAAATAATCTAATGTTGCCAGTAATGAACATGAATTTTTCAATAACACGAATATTCCAAAAATACCAGCAAAGAATAAATACTGATGGGCATTGTTATTATGGACACCACAAATCCATATACTGTTCCTAAAGAATCTAATGAGTGGGACGCTGCTCTTACAAACTCAAGAGGACAAAAATTTGTATTTGGTGTAAATGCTACAAAAAGCCAATATAACTATGTGAAGGAATTTTCTATGAGAAAAATGTGCTTTTTCTCTTTCACAAATAGCAATATTGGAATTGACAGAAACGATTCCTGGTTTGAAAGTATTGTGGTGTCAGGGTAACTCTAATTAAATTCCTTAGCTGAATTGCACTCAGATCTCTTTGTTTAGAAAATGTAATTTACCATAAAATATACAGACCGATAAAAGGATAAAACATAGCAGATTTTAAAGCTAATTGGATATTAGGGGTATTAAAGCGACTTAGCATGCTGGTGTTTCCCCCACATTTATCTATTCGAGAAAATTAATTACAGTTCACAAAGGCCAGTGAGAAATGAGCACGTTGCCTGAGAAAGGCAGCAGCAAACACCAGCTGAGCAGTGTTTGGGGGCACTCTCTTCAATGATTTCTGTAAAGAGCACAGACCTGGGTGTACCCGGTCTTTCCCTTGCTCCTCAGACACAGTCTGGATATTTCAGCATCGCCTTTCACAGCTTGTGGGTTGACTAAAGCTTGTTTTGAAGGCAATGCTTTGTTGTACCTCCTACAAAATATATCAGGCTCCATCAAAACAATCATTCACAGCATTTAACTTCAGATGTTCACAAATGACTTAGCAGGTCAAAAAGCAATTGCTCTACAGGTGGAGCTTTTGGACACCCTAAGTTAAGACCCTGCTTTATGACTTCTTTCCACTTTCTAGGGCCTCAAGCTCTTACCCTAGTTGTTCACCTGAAAGGCCAGCTGACAGTCCAGTGACCATTGAACAGTTTTCAGCAGTTTAACCTGTGGTTTCTTAGCACAACTCTGTGATAGAACACTGAAATGACACAAGGAAAACACTGGGAGACAGACAGTCATGTCTTTTATCTTTTGAAATTCAAGTCACTACGCACTTCCTTCTCTATCTCCCTGCTCCCCTTCATGGTCTTCCCAGTTTCCTCATAGCTCAAAAGGCCAAAAGCAAAAAGCAATCTTCTCCAAAACTCCCTTCCCACAGCATGTTTGTTCTGCCTTAGGAGAATGTAAAAGAGTCCAGGGAGCCATCTGGAAAAAAGGACTCCTACATGTATCAAAGCTCCTTGCAAAAGTCAGGAGAACTGTAGGAGAGATCTTGAAGATCTCAACGCAAGTTTTGGTGTTGTGATTTATTAATGGTACAGCTGTGTAAAGCCAGAAACTGGGTGAATCACATCTGGTGCAGGGGGTTATTTTTTAAATCAAAGCGTAACTGAAGGTCTCTGGAAGGTTTTGCCAAGCTTTCTCCCACTCTGAGCCCAGACCAGTCCTTCTGTTTGTAACTGACTGTCTTTAGAAGTCCTAGAGGTGATATAATACTCTTTTAATGGAAGCCCCTATCTCTCCAAGTCACTCTTTAAGAACAGGTCATACAGAGCCTTTCCCTGCAAAATCCCAAGCTTGTTCATTTTTCCTCCACAAAAATCTGTGCTCTCCCTCTCCCCCTTTTGGGAGTCTCTGTTTCTTAGCTACATCCTTCAGACTTCCCAGCTTTGGCTGGACCTTGGCACGTCAAGACAGGACCTAAGCCACAAGGTAGAGTTAGGAAAACACATCCAATTCAGAGAAGTATCAGTGGAGAGCTTCTTGAGCAAATAACTGACTAAACAAAGCTTGTAAGACTTTCTGTGTCCTTAAATATTCTGTTCTTGACTCTTTTCATAAATATTATTGCTTATCGTTCCTAGGTTCATGGCCTCTCTGTAATATGTCCTTTTGCACTGGATTTCAGAAGGAGTGTCCACTAAATAAGATCAGGCTAGATTGACTTAATATTACGAGATGATGCTCAGACATTATCAGTAGCTCTAACTTCTTTTTTTTGGCTAAGAATTGTCTGCCTTAGAACATATGAGCATGGAGATGTGGGAAGAGAGAAGGTAAAGCACAGAAGTGATGGATCAGCTAAGATATTTTATGTACTAAGAACAACAATGGCAGTTCTATTTTTGAAGCATTCTGGCATTAAGACTTGCTATTTGTGAGGAAAAAAAACCAATAAGCTATTACCAATAAGCTCCTTTCTCTTGCATCTCAGCCAAAAAAAAGCATGGAAAATTTTAGGAATTTCTGTGGCCTTCCATTGACTCTACTTTTAACATAACTTTAATTTTAATTCATGCATTGTAGATAGAAAATTAAAAGCTTTAATAATACAGCCATTAGCTCTTATGCTTTATTAAAACTATTTGCACACTCGTTGTTGCAGTTGTGAGACCTTTCAACAATACAAAACACGCTTTTAATACATAAAGGAGCAGAAACTCTCAGGGAAACAGAAGAATATTAGAACAGAGTTCAATGATGTATGAAAGTACCTGGATAAAAATCCCCTTGCGCAAACATGTCAATCACATAGCGACAGAACGCATATTGATCTAACAGAGCAAAAAGGAAAAAAAGAGTAATGAAGAAAGAAAATTTAAAATGTTGTTTCTATTTAACAGTGAAGACAAAGCTTGGCGGTGCAAAGACACATTTCAGGGATAGTCTTACTTATATATTTGGGGTTTTTTTCGTGACCTTCAAGTAATCCGCGTGTTCAGAAAGAGACGGTTTATTGTCCAGATCTAATTCAAGCCTCCCAGCCAAGAAGTTGAGAGTTACCAGTGCCCCAGAGCTACCAACTCTTCCTCTGGGCCAGCAGAGCACAGGGTGTGCCCCAGGTCAGCGATGCACCAGCCTTGGTTCTGACACACATCCTGACCCCACGCACAAGTGCCGTGTGCCCCAGGTCAGCCATGCACCAGCCTTGGTTCTGGCACACATCCTGACCCCACACACAAGTGCTGTGTCAACTGCTGCCAGGCCACACGTCCCAGGGACTTTTTCTTATCTTTGAAGATCTATCCCAAATCATCACTGGCAGGTGAGAGAAAAATTTTATACCACAGTAGTTCGATAATATTGTTTTAACAGTATAATCAATACGTACATTTAGTGACTGGCAATATAAAGAGAATGAGAATATCATTTCGCTACAGAATTATATTCAAAATACTAGTCTTTACAAATATATCTCTATGTATATATTAAATCTGTATATATATATTAGAACTATGCTATTCAGAAATTAAAGCTTCTGAATCTAAATGAAACGTGGATTTCAGAAATGCTGATTGTCTATTGATTTCTCCTACACATAAGCAGAGTTAAAGACCTTAATAAAAAGTTCTAACATAAAGAGTGGTGAAGAAATTTTACCAGCTGTAACTGAGTGCAAAAGAACTGCAATATTATTGCTGGATTCTCCAGTTGGCCAGGAAAAAGCATGTTGCCCCACTGAACTCTAAGGGACATCAGTTTTAAAAGTTAATGTTGATGACTAAATGCCAACTCTGGTTAGCTAAGTTAATTACCACGAATATTCATCCATCTAAGCATATTCATCCGTCTGTCCTAGACTGTTCTAGCACGTTCATCGGCTACAGAAGTTACACGTCTTTCTCTTGCCACCTCCTGTTACATCTGTCTCCTACTCACCTACGAAGCCACTTACTTTCTCTTTGCCAACTTCAAAACAAAATTATGCAGACTTTGGAATATTTAAAATTTTAAAAATGTCATAACTGTTACATTTAAATGCAAAATGACGTTCCCCAGAATATAATACTCGTATTATTTGCTTTCGTACATAGTTCACTGGAGCATTGGTATTAGGTGTTGCTGAGGCATTTATGTAGTTGCTGCTCTGTTATGTCGACTGCTACAGAAGTCCTTGGGCAGAGAACTGCAGCTTTTATGTCATGATTTCCTATGCAGTTGTAGAAATTAGGAAAGAGTTTACAAGCTCAGCAAATATCCAGTTGCTTCTCTAGTCCATAGGAGCCCGTGCAGCTATTTCCAGTTCCTGAGATGGCCAGTGTAGTACTAGTCAGTATTGCAGAACCTGGGGCAAACCTTTCAGGACGTGCACAGGGCCGTGGCTATAAGCACTGCTTTTAAAACCTTCAATGAACATTCAATATAGTTTCTACTTTTGTATTTAGGAATTCAAATTTATGATTCTGGCTGGCTCCAGCTTTGGATTCCAACCTTCAGGAATCTGAAAAATTTGGCTGCAATATCTCTCCTAAGTCTATGTGCTAATTTTCTGAAAGTAGCAGCGTGTAGGTGAGAAAACAAGTATGCACAAATCCACACTCTCAGGAAAGCCCATCTAAAGCCACTGGAGTCAGCTTGCACTGACTTCAATGCACTTGCAAATAGGGCCTCAGTGAGCGAGTCTGTGCTCGTTATTAAAATGGACCAATGCCAATTTGTCAGCCCAGAAAGGAAATGGCAGGGCACAGCTCTTGCCCACAAAGCTGAGTTTTCCTTACCCCTCTTTTGCCAAAACAAACTGCCTTCATCCATGCTGCCTGTTGGGAAGGGCCCCTCGACTGTCCTGGGCCATCGTATGGAAGACTGGTGGATGGCATGGGACAAAACTGCATCAGGAGCACTCACAGGACAGAGCACAACCCTAGGATGGGTCTATTTAGGTTCTGACATAGACATAGCCTGGGGGCCTAGCAGCTCGTACCATTTCATTGATACTAAAATGATAGATTTTTAAAACGTAGTAAAATAGACCAGGATTAAAACAGACTGTGGGGTTTAGGGTTGTTGGTGGTATTGGGGTTGGTTTGTTTGCTTTGGTTTTGGGTTTTTTTTAGTGGTTTGATGGGTTTTTGTTTTTTGGTTTGTTTTTTTTTTTGTGGGGTTTTGTTGTTGTTTTTTTTTTTTTTAAATGTCATTTAAATAAACTTTTTTTTTAAAAAAAGCGTTAATCTTGATTGTACCTGAGAGGAAAGATTTTATATTCTTCTCATAAGATTTCTTCAGTAACAACCCCCAAAAACTGGGATTTATCAAAAAAAATCAAGGCAGAATGTTAAAGTTTGAATAACAAAAGCAGCATTTCTATTGTATATGACATAATAAGGTGCACAGTAACTTCCCGTTGAAGTTCATGGGAATTCTGTCAATCAGCAAAGATTGAAATCTAAGGAATTTTAAGTTAATATCATTTTCCAAATGTCTCTTCATGGCTAAAAATTCATTTTAATTTAAACTCTCCTGTTAAAAAGAAAATTTCACACTATAGTTTTCACTTTATTACTCTCTAATAGTGGCAAAGATATTCATCCAAGTACTAATAAATCATGTCAAAGCTGGGGAGACTATATTATTATTGATAAAAACTGCCATAGGTATTTCTGTCACTGGATCTCATCTGATTTACCCTAGGAGATGACCTATCTTTTTAAATTTTAATTTCGGTAAGGAATGATGCAACAGCAGGGACATCCTAACAACCCCTCTGTGATCGCTGCTGTATCTTTTAAAATTGTTGCAGAAAAGTCGGCAGAACTGCTCCCTTGAGCAAGGAAAAGTAAGGAATGCAGGATCAGGAAATCTCGGCAAAACCATACTGACTTCAAAATTATGTTCCCCTTGGGTCGCAGTGGGACTGAAATGCAGAAATGAATTTTCTGAGAGCACCCAGCTGGGCAGCAGCAGCTTATGGTGGAAAAAGGAAGGACGAAAGTAGAAAAAGGCATCTTTCACTGGATGCGTGCAGCTCTATCTCCTGTGATAAGGGCAGTTTAAGAGGCTCCTTCCTTCCTCCACTCCAGCTGCTCCTTCCCACTTTCACCTGCTATGGTTCAGTGCCCAGTCACTGTGGCCACACTCTAAAGCAGACTTACAAAGTTATCTGTTAATGTTTAATACTAAGATGGACCATTTTGCTAATATTTATTAGTTAAGGGAGGGAGGGGGAACCCACAAAAAAACCCAAACATATTAAAAAACCCACCACCCCTCTCTATTGCTCTCTGTAATGTTTGACCTCTACATACTTAAAATATTTTGCTGTCAAGGAGTAAAGTGCCTTGTCTGCACACCACTGCTTTTTGAGAGCCTTATCCTGAACAGTGTGGAGTGGATCCCACTGTGCACTGAAAACTCTGTCAGAGCAAACAAAAACCCAGAGAGATTTGCACCTCACAAGAGAAGCTCAACAATTTGCTGAACTTTCCTCTTGATCACAGCAATCACCATGAAAGATGCTGCCTTGATTTTATGCCTCAAAGGCTCCAGCATTTCAAGTAGAAACCAAAATTAACTAGAACACAAATAAATGTTAAAAAATACTCGTTCAGCGCACTATGTATGTCAGAAAGGAGACTATGTCTCAAAATCTCTCAGATTTATAGAAACTTATAATTTAGGCAACTCCTAAGGAGTTCAGAGCTGATGGCCATGAAATTCTGACAGAATCTGCTCTGGCGGATTCAGATATCCAGGCAGGGATGGCTGTTTTGATGCTCAGGCATAATGATTTATGGGTGGTTATCAGCAGAAGGATCAGATAGGTGCGCCACGCAAGGCTGAGCTGCCTCTATTAATGTCAGAATAATCCCGTGCCTGCAGTGTGGCAAATCACAGGTCCTGCCGCCTTCATTCATACAAAATTGTACCTAACACCATGGAATAGCCACAGGGAAATCAGGGAACCAGTCAGTGCAACTTGGGAATGGAAGAATCCAGGCTGGATTCTCTTTTTTTTTTTTTTTTTCTCTCTTTTTTAGGAGAAATTTGGAAGCTGTTCACATCAAATTGCATCAGGCAGGTATATCATTATGTCATACAATACCTGACAGCATGACAATGCCTCATAAAATCTGATGTAACACACAAAGTATTACATTCCCTTTCCTCTGCTGCTACTTTCCTTAATGTTACTGAGGACACATGCAGATATAGAAACAAAACATAATTCCTAACAGGTCATTGGACAGTCTGTATTTTCACACTGCATAGCATCACACTACATAGTATCTACTGAGCAAATCCATGAAGTCTCGGCCTATCGGAAGAAATATTGGTCCTTGATAAAGAGGAATTTAAACTTAAATGAATTTTTAGCCATGGAAAACAGTTAGAACTTTCTGGTTATTTAGATTAACCTTATTTTATTCTTAATAGCCTCCTTCTAGTGGTCTGAGATTCATCTGAAATTTAATTGTACTGCACTTTTCTTTTTCATGTGTGGACTTAGGTCCTTGCCAGCTTTAACTCCATTCTTTCTGCTTCTTCCCTACTACCTTTTTAAGATCTTCATCTGTTTCCTCCTGGTTTTGTTTACCTTTCTTTTCCGATTTAGTTACAGTCTGAAGTGCTTTCTCCTCCTTAACTTTCGGTTTGGCTTTTATTAGCCCAACTTCAGTTGTTTTAGTCTCTGTCTGCTTGACCTTCTCAGTCGTCTTTGCTTCTCCTTTTCCATCCTTCACTTCCTTTTTAACTTTTGCTTCCGCTTTAGTGCTCTTTATTTTCTTCTCCTCTGCAGACAATAAAGAAAAAACTTTCAGTATCATTCTTTCCCCCCAGAATAATACACAATACCATATATTTTATCTTGTGCTATTACTAATGAGTATTTCTGCACCATTGATACCTTCTTCAGAACAATAAAAGCTAAAATCCCCCCAAACCAGACAGGTTTAGATGGAAATATGAGATGCAAGTATGTTTTGTCTTCAGCCTCGTACCAAGTATTTGGCTAATGCTAAGGATAGTAGTCTATGGCAAATAATATTCAAAGTTTATAATGACAATGTTTTAGCTTTTATGGCATAAACTAGGGAGACAAACGCTGGTCATGAAGCAAACAAATATGAGAGACACTTCCAGGTTAAATCTGAGTAAATTTAGACTTCAGAGATCAGAGGTAAACTCTGTTGTAAGCTGTAAGTGTCGTATATTTAAAGCGTGGCTGTTTGTAAGGGTAGCTTTTATGCACCAACTTTAGGTCTCTGTCCAAAAATTCCTGAGTTCTTGGTTCTCCCTCTACACCAACTCCCTGCGCTGAAAGACTAGTCGGAGACAGGCCGACCCAGCAGAACGAGAAGATTTCCAAGCAGAATTACTGAATTGTAAATATCAGTGGCTGAAACTATAAAGAAGTATTCCTTCTGCTCATATGTATCAGCAACTTTTTCCCATCTGAGACATGGGTGCTGACAATAACTGTGTTTCTAGTTCACTTCAGTGGAAAATAGAGCAGTCGTTTAAAAGGCCACTGAATACGGTTTAAATTAATCTGTTTAGTGTGGTGTTCACACTCCTGTTTTCTTCATAGCTCTGAAGGTCTCCGTCCTTGAGATAATGCTTGAATACTACAAAATCCATGTCTTCTGTAAGACTTTGGACCTCTATTTCTGTTACGAGACTGGGAGGACTAGATTGATTTTATCAATATATAAACTGAATAGTTCTACCTATTCTAAAACAGAATACAGATATTTTTATAAGGGTCAATTCCACTTTCAAAAAAAGCCATGGCATGACCAGATATATTACTGGCTAGTGAAGAAAAGATTTCCTAAACAAGTTATAGTGAAAATGTGTATGTCAAATCACTTACAGATGGGCCTACTTCTTTTTCAGGGAAGTGTTGGTTCATACCTTTAATTTTCATCTTCAAAATTTCCTCATCTTTTAAAAGAGATCATGCATAGAACTAAACCCTGGATGTTCTAAATTTTATTTTAATTTCATTATAATGTCATGTAGCTGATTTTTCGTACGCATTATATTCCCTGCTCCAATAAAATAAAGTTTATGAATTTTAATGTAAATTCTGGTAAAAAATGTAGCATAAATAAATAAATACCTTTGGGAGGAGGTTTCTTTTCAGCTTTTTCATGTCTTTCAGGTTTGTCTTTTTGAATTACTAGAAATAAGTACAATTGCATATTAGGATAAAACCCAACAAAGAATGAGAAAATATTGCTAAGATACAACAACATCACTGGAAGTTTCACATTTTTTCAGTACTCCTGTTTTTTTGGTTTGCAAAAATCTTGCTTCTTATTCACACACACAGAGGTAAAAAAGCTTCAAAATATCTGTTGAAACTCACTTAACCAGGACATGAGGCACTCACACAGATGTGAAGCTTTGTAGGGAATGCTTTTACTGCATATTCCAGGTGACAGAAACTTGCTCTGCTCAAGCTCTGAGCCCACATGGGCTTGATCTTGTTGTGCTACAGCCAACGGGAAGCTGTGCAGCTACAGAAAGGGTTTTTTTCTTAGCTTGGGCTCACTGTCATACAAACACAGCCACGAGCCCGGTGCTCACTGCAGAGCCCAGCTTGAGTGAGTTCATGTCTGTACAGGATACACTGTGTAAACACACACGTCCCAGAAGGTCTGTTGAAATCTTACGTGGAGACTTCCATCTTTTCCTCTCTTGGTTGCCATCCAGAACAAAACAGCCTTGAGAGTTAATTACACTTCTTTCAAGCGATAGCTGCATAATGGCAACATCCTCTCTAACTGAATTCCAGCCTGGAATTGCTGCTTTTATGAGCCATGATTGATATTTAGACTTTTTTCTTTTTTTTTTCTTTTTTTTTTTTTTTAAGACATGGTTCTTCAGGGCATGCTCTAGTGCCCAAGATTACTGGTTTGTGGTGGGGTGCTGTGTGGGTGGGTGATGGTTTTTGGTTTGGTGGTTGTTGTTGTGTGTTTAGGTGGTGGGTGGTGGTTTGTGTTTTTTGTGGTTTTTTTGTGGTTGGACTCGATGATCTTTGAGGTCCCTTCCAACCACTACGATTCTGTGATTCTGTGAAGATAGCTATTTTGTAGATGACGTGTTTAAATAGCATTCATATCACTGTAGCTTTCTGGAACCTTTAATGGAGGCTCAAGAAGTACCCTAAAGTCTTTTTATTGAGTGTAGAGAAAATCTCCTGGCTGTGGGGGAAGCAGCTACCTGATTTTCAGTACGCCTGTTTCCCTGCAGTTGTCCTGGAGCTGAGCATCCTCATTTCCCAGGGACTGCAAGTGGCTGAGATGGCCCCGGGGGGAAGCAGCCACCTGATTTTCAGTATGCCTGTTCCCTGCAGTTGTCCTGGAGCTGAGCATCCTCATTTCCCAGGGACTGCAAGTGGCTGAGATGGCCCCTCAGCACTGCTGGGAGCTGAAGCAGTTTAGAGCAGACCCCAGACAAAAGGGAGGTGAACCTGGCAATGGATATCTCAGCATGTTGCTGGCATCCGTGTGCCTTAGGGAGTGCTGGAGGCAACAAGTGCCTTAATGCACTGAGTCCACCCACTGGGATACACACAACATGGAAACTATTCAAGAATGGTAACCACATCACTCCGCAGCAGCACATCTCCCAAGCTGCAAAGTGGCCAAATTTTTCAAAAAATTTTCTGGCCGGTGACCAGAGTCATGGCTGCTATCAAACACAATCAAGCTCCAAGTGATTATTGGGTTAGCTAGCAGAAGATAAATGGGTAAACTGGCTGGCTGTTCATTAGGAATATCTCAGTGACTCTTGGAAGTTATTTGCTTTTCAAATCTACACAGACACCATGGGCATTTATTTTCTCCAGATTACTTCAGTGTGATTTCACTTTGTTAAAAAATCCTACGCTTTCAAGTAGAAAAAATGAACAAATATCCCATTTAAAGAGAGACTGGACAATGGCTCCCTTTCAAAGCCTTTCAAGGCTTTAAATCTTCATTTCACTTTTTCTCTTTCTTCACTCCCTAATTTCTGTTTTACATTTCTACTTAGAGTAAGGTCAAGTCCCATGAAGACTGAGTTCTACATTTGAATCTGTATTGTATGAACAGATTCACATTAAACCTAATTAATTCATGTGTCCCACCATCATCAGATTAATCTGAATGCCATAATAGAATAATATTAAGATACATTGCATAGGGACTTTTTTCAATAGTTAACCAACTAAAAGTAAGAAGAGGTAAATATCTGGCTTCCAAAAAGCAATGCATGCGGGAAAAAAAAAAAAGAAAAAAAGAAAAAAAAAAAAAGCCAAAGCATTCAAATGCCTTCGAATGCCAAGGAATAATAAATGTTAGACTTTAAAAAATAGCATAAAAGAACAAGATGATTGGATTTTTAAATCCCCATGTCCAAGTCATGGTTAAGGATGGAATTATCAGTCAAAAAAATACTGAAAATCATCTCTTATACATGATATTGCTTCAGAATATATATGATAATTAGTAGACATGTTAATCTTAACCTAAGTCGCTTCTGACACAGAGGACAGTACAAATCATGTATTGAAATGAAAATGTTATTGCAAAAAAATAAAGGCAAGAAAATGTAAATGTATTTTTGGTTATGATGAAGGTCCTGACTGAGAGTTAGTAAAGACTCCTGCATTAGGTCTGTGCCAGACTGAAGGATACATAAGAGGAAGCCTTCTTTACAGGGAAATTACTGAATCCCATTGTGGAGGAAAAGACGTCAAGGAATAGAAATGTAACAATCATAGGCTTACTTCTTTAGCTGCACAAGAATGATTTATACTTACCTCTGTGCATCAAAACAAGAGAATTAAGCAAGAAATATATGCTGAGCAAGGTTTCACTCAGGGGCTGATCAAGACCTACTCAAGCAAAAGTGAGAGCACCCAAAAAATGTACAGCATGGACTATATGAAATTTATACTTTAAATACCCATCTCCACACTCTCCCAAACTATATAAGCAGTAAAAATCTAAAACTATACAACATCTAACACTAATTACCTTTAGAAGGTGCTTTCTTTTCCTGTTTTTCTGGCTTTTCAGGTTTCTCTTTGTGAGTAGCTAGAAATTAATAACAAGAACATTAACGGTTATTAAAAAGGAGAAATGTTGTGTTTTACGTGAGAAAAGGGGGAAACAACATCCAGAAACACAACTAGGTACCATGTCTACCCATGCAAAGAACCAGAAAGATTGATTTAGCTGCTGCTGTCTGCTGTTGAAACCAAAACACGATTTGAACTTCCAAAACTCATCTACCATCCCTGAGGTCTCTGCCACCAGCTGGGGGAGGAATGGCCTTCCTGGCACAATTGTAATCCCATGAAAGAATTCAAGAACAGTCATGCTTATTTATGTTGTTTACTGGTTCATTTTGTTTGATTTGTTTATACTGTTGTTTATTGGTTTATTTTGGTTTATTGTTATTTTTGATCTTTCTTGTTTATTACTTTGGTTCATTCCTGAAAGATTTTCTGAACTCCACATAACAATTAATAGTTTTTCCAGCTATGAATGATTAAACACTATAATTAATTACAAATCTAATTGCAATGGCATTATAACTAATGCTCTTTGGGGCTTTCTGTTTGCTTTTAATTTCCACTTTACAAATTGAAATAAAGTACACTGTAGTGACTGGATTTCTGGCTCAGGTTTCAGAATACACCTGAACTGTGCAATAGTCACTGAGTGGTGGGTAGTCTGGAATATTCTCTTATGTGGCCTCTGATTTGCTACATTTCTGCAATTAATGTTTGCACAGTAGCCTGTCCATGGGTGTGCAGAGCTGTGTCCATATCCCCTGAGGCAGCCTAGAGGGACAAGGTATGTGAAAACCCTCAGCTGCCTATTTGACTCTTGGCATCTGAGTTTATACTAAGAGCACAAAAATGTATGCGTGAGCATTGCCATGTACTCTCCAGTCTTGTGCTGGTGTTTCAAAAAAAAGTATGAATTGTGGAAGATAAAGCAGTGCTAAGGTACCTGTTTATTGCAAGTAGGTACTTAAAGAATTAGTCCTGTCCTATTCAATGCCTATGCAACAACCCTACCCACTATTGTATTTTAAAAGATCTTTTTCATGGCTTTCATTAACAGGTTGTCAGGTGTTTTCTTGGATGACCATATTCTCTAATCAACCATACTTAGTGTGACTGCTGGAAATACTCAGAGATTACTGGGACATTATACTAATCCAGAGCGTAAAATATATTAACTTCCTTCCTCAGAAAAAAACCCCAACAAACATGCAGAAGGAATGCAAAATGCTACTCAGTCTGTATGTCTGATCTCATGGTTTTTATTCATAAAGTTCTATAACATTTTTTCCAATCAAGGGGATAGACAAATGGAAATACAGTAAGAAATTAGTGCTGGGGTACCTCAAAATGTTAAATAAATTCTGACATTAAATCATTACCTGCATGCCTTTCCTTTTTTTCAGACTTTTCTTGTCTTTCCAGCTTGTCTTTATGTGTCACTAGAAAAGAAATGCGTTCATTAAAAAAAAAAAAAAAAAAAACGTCTTTGTGCGTCACTAGAAAATAAATGTGTTCATTTAAAAAAAAAAAAAAAAAAAAAAACCAAAAGCAAAAAAACACCTGTGGAAAAACTTCAGAACAGAAAACAATTCTAGCAAGACAAGCCTTAGGAGACAAAATGGCAAACTGTGCTCCTCTGGAGCTATCCCATGCCTATCTGCACAGCACACATCGTGTGAGATGGGTGTGAGCAGACAGCTCTGGCTAACCAGTTACCACTTACAATACAAGCCACAGCAACGTGCCTCAGGTGTTTACTACAACAACACCATCACTTGCAATTGTCTGTCCATTCCTGAAGAGAGATTTTCAGAAACTCTGTTGAGGACTAAGGCAGAGCTCACAGAAAACGCTGCTGCCTGCGCTAAGAAAGAGGACATCACCTGGGCCACCCCACACTGTGTCAGGCAGAAGCTCATAAAAACCCTGGAATCAATCCTGGAGCGTAAGAGCATCACACCGACAAATGACACGTCTGTCACTTGCCAGCTGGCTTGAAATGGGTAACCAGTAATGGATATGGACAGCCAGTAATGGACAGAGATAGCTAGTAATGGACACTAACTGAGATCAGTCCCTGGCAATGATGATCTCAGAGCCATAATTAGATGCCCAGTATGTGCAAAGTAAAAGCTAACATTATGACAGTGGAAGCTGTACTATGCTATCCATTCAGTCCCGTAACATTTTCCACTCACTTTTCTTAGGGTTTTACACAAGGGGAAATAAGCGTGTGGATTTTAGAGCACTTCAGAAAAATGAGCGGTGAAACCGCAAGCTCGCTTTAACTCTAAATCCTGTGGAGATTTCATCCCAGTTTAGTAAAGCTCCCTTTGTCAAACATGAAAAAATAAGGAAATTTTTTTTACAGTACCTTGAATCCCATATCTAACTGGAAGCAAAAGAAGATGGGTGGGGAGTGTTTGGGCTTTCACATTTTTTTAGCAATATAGTGAAGAAATACCTGAGAATGGCATAGCTGACTGGGTCACTTCTAAGTGACTAAGACATTTCTAATTATTGTCTATGTCATTAGATAACTCTCCTAAGCTTCATCACAGAAGTTGATTAGAAGTTAGAATAAGATATTTAGAATAGGTTATTTACTCTCTCTGTTACTTAAATCTTGAGAAAGTAATTTATTTGCAAGAGAAAATAAGCAGTTAAAATATAGCAATGCAGTGAAACTTTCAAAAGGTGAATACAGAGAATCTCTGCACACGGTACTGTTTTAGTAGCATTAGTAGCAATAGTTCACTAAACAAAACTAAGAAATACATTCATTTTAAGATAAAATACAGGTAGCTAAACAGAATATTGGTAGGAGTTATGACAAGTTAAGGCAGTATCACAATTCTTATTCTTATTCATTGGCTATCTGAGATTGATGGGGATAATTTCTTCCTGTTTTAAGAAAATTTTAAGAACATAAATATTGTTCTCATATCCAATCAAATTGAAGATATTCCACAAAATAAAAAGAGAAGTCTTAATGATACATTCATTTTTTAATATGGGGCATCCTAGTCTTTGCTTTGTCATTTGTCCAAATCTCAGAAAAAATTTCTCTTCCTACCACTGTTCCATTTTCTAGTAATAAATATTCATTCAGATAGAAACCTGAACTCATGTGTCTGCCATTAACCTCTAGAGGCAGTCTTGCCAACTCAGTGTATTTTGAATTATTTATTTAGAATGGAAAAGCTCCAATCACAGACCATTAGAAAGGCCTAGTCAAGCATAGATGTCAGGAAGGTGCATGTTCACTTGGGTTGTGAGACCTGTGTTCTTGATCTGAAATAAATCAGCTGTGTCTGGATATTGAGTCTTCCTTTTGGGTGATTTATTAGGACCAGTGGCCTAATTGCTTTTTCAGAATGTTTTTTTTTCCTCCAGCCTGAGACTTCATTAATCACATTTTTATGTAAAGGACATGTTCTCAGAAGGATTTAACTGTTTTGACAAGCAGGTGTGTTCAAACAAAATTCAATTTTGCCAAAAAATTCCTCACAAGAGGCAAATTAGATGGTGGCTCTTGGAGCCCAGAGTCATGGGTGGAGAGGAAGCATTATCCTGATTCCGACTCCTACAACAGGCGGATCTGTAACTTGTTGTTGGTGTACACCAACAGCAAAATCCTCTTTAACACCCTCTCTCCAACATCTCTGAAATGACTCTGGGGAAATTTTTTTCTAAGGCAGGTCTCTGAAGCAGAATGCCTCCAGGGACCGTGCCCTGTATGTTATAATTTACTCATTATGTTTTGCTTAGAAGTATTCCCAAAGACAAATATTATGCTTGGATTTATTAAAGAAGAATAAAAAAGGCACCTATTTCTGCTCCGGGCATCTTTTACATAAGCTAATAATACAGTAAAAACTTATTCATTAATCTCTGAATATAATTTTAGCCTTTCTCCAGAGTGATGAATTCAAAGTGTTTTTAAAATCCTCATTCTCCTTCCAGTTGGCTTTCACAACACCTCCTCCGTCCTTAAACATAATTGGGATTTACCAAAAGCGTCTAAGAGTCAATAGATCAGACTGTTTTGAAACCCTGCTGAAAAGATAAAGAACATCAAATGCTGAATACATACCCTTTACGGGTTCCTTCCTCTCAATTTTTTCTTGTTTTTCAGGTTTGTCTCTGTGAATTACTAGAAACAATAAAAAAAAAAAACAAACAAATAAACAAACCCCACAATAAATCTGTAATCTGGATGTATTATGCATGCTTATTATTTCACCAAAGTGATCAAGGAAAAATATTTGTAAAATCACATACTGGCTTCTAGCTCTTAGTCACAAGCAGTAGGTGATGTATTGACACTAGACATTCTTAGTGTCAATGTTTAGTTCCAGGTCCAAGAGAAATACTTTTTCTTGAATATGCCTTCAGATACAAGATCATACTTTTGCCAAATAAGTGATTATTCAGCAACCTTAATCTAATCTGTGAAATCTCTTTTGGTCCCATTACATAAGCACCCTGACTCTAGGATTTCTGACAGGAAATTATTTTCAGTCCCTGACAACATTGCCTTCTATTCTTAACAAAAATGGCTAGCATATTGCTTTCCATGCTCTTTTTTCTTTATTTTTAGCTGTTACTTCAGCCACGGGATGGATTAACAAGAAAACGTGTCATTTAATCAGAGTGCAACTTCAGGGGGAGCAGCTATTTGAAACATAACCAAACATACGTCCTGCTAGAAGCAGGCCACCACCAATCCTTACAGACTCTTGCCCACCCAACTTTCAGACCATTTTTTTGGACATGGTTCTATCCCACAACCTAATGATTTTGGTAGGCAAAAATGTTCCTTGTCAACCTCTACCGCTACAAGACTAGCATTTTGCAATTTCAAGGAAAAAATTGTTTTCTTTGCAGTATTCAAGTTTCTGTCAACAAGTAAGCCTCAGAAAATACAACTCTGACTAGAAGACAACTGTGCGTTTTATGCACAAGCACAGTAATGTTTTTGCACACATTCATTTCACCAGCTTTGCAGCAAATGTCATTTCACAGAGGTGCAAGCATTTTTTTGTTGGTTAAATATTTCCTCATTAAAAAATAGGCCCATGTCTTTAAGAAAAAAATATCCCAAACATTCGGTAATTTCATTATGTCTTGCATGTGTTTGCATTACCCAAATACATTTCCAGTCATAACAGGTAAATTATTGTTGATAACAATTAGCAGTACAGTGGCAAGAGAGTGAAGGGAGATTTTTCAAAGCCTTTAAGGAATGTGGACAACCAAATTAGACTAAAAAACAGGCTGTGAAGAATGCAGCAGCACCAGCGATGTATTACTGAAAGAATTACAGACTGTAACTCATTCAATTGCTTTAGGACATCTAGTAGCACACCGAGGGAAAGCAGTCTCTTGTCTCCCTATACCGTGGAGAACTTAGACTGAATATTTTTGCAGAAACTGTAGCATGCTTTTACATCTTATATTTGTATTAGTAGGTGCTAGCTCTGTGCAAAACACTTTGAGCCAGCTTGTTGTCAGTTTTGGATGGGGTCATAGCACGGTTTTGCAAACAATAGGTCTGTGATGGTCAATGGCAGTGAAACACGAGCTTCTGCACCTCAGACAAAAGCCCTTGTGCTTTCTATGCCAAAAAAATACAGCTGAGCTATGCAGAAGAGACTGGCAATCAGAAAGCTCTTTTTTAGTCACAGAACATCTTACTTGTGTAAGGGAAACTGTTGCGGGTTTTTTAAAAAAATTATTCTATTCTGCATCCAGGTCTGGAGTCCTCAGCATAGGAAAGACATGGACCTGTTGGAGTGGGTACAGAGGGAGGGCCACAAAAATGACCAGAGGGCTGGAGCTCCTCTCCTTGGAGGAAAGGCTGAGAGAGTTGGGGTGGTACAGCCTGCAGAAGAGAAGGCTCTGGGGAGACCTTATTGTGGACTTTCAGTAATTAAAGGAGGCCTACAGAAAAGGTGTGGACAGACTTTTTAGCAGGGCTTGCTGCGACAGGCCAAGGGGTAAATGGCTGTAAACTAAAAGAGAGAAGATTTAGGCTAGATACGGGGAAGAAATTTCTTTACAATGAGTGAGGTGAAACACCGACACAGGTTGCTCAGAGAGGTAGTAGATGCCCCATACCTGGAAACTTTCAAGATCAGTTTGAAAGGTGCTCTGAGCAACCTGATCTAGTTGAAGATGTCCCTAGACACTGCAGGGGAGGTTGGCGTAGATGACCTTTAAATGTCCCTTCCTACCCAAACTATTCTATGATTCTTCTCCATAGCATTTCCCTATTTCATGCATTGGGAAAAAAGACACAAGACAAGCCTTGAATGACACTAACTGAATTGAGTGTCAGCAGACCTTAAAGTGGACAGAAAAATCTAATTTAAGGGTCCATCCCATCATCACAATGGTATAAAGGGGTAAAATGCAAGGAAATAATAATATTTGTGTGGACTCCAAGCTAAAACCATGGACCAGGGATCAGTTGGCTCCTTGAGAAATAAAAGTAACTTGATGTATCTGGGCAGGGAGCCTGGAATGTGGATAAGCAGAGACCGGGCTGGCATAAGCATAAGCTATTTTTCTCTTCCCAATGATAGGCTGAAGGCGATCTCCGGTTAGTCCAAAAACCCTATCCTGTGTGTTGATATCCCCATAGCCTCAGAGCGTGCTAATCTCAGACTGTAATGTTTACCATTACCTCTTTTGGAGACACTGTCAGAGCTAAGCCTTTTAGGTAGAACCTTATCTGGGGAGGGCAGGTGTTGCCAAAAATTAAAGGGTTCATGTTTCAGGGGTGTGATGACTGCCCATTTTTGACTCTTCAGTAACAGTGCAGCAGGGACACCAAAGTCCACAGAAGGGACCAAAGACCACGTTTCATCTGACAAATATGATTTTTCTTTTGCATATTAACTCTGTTTTTTCCCCTTGAAATGTTTTCATGTTCACCTTCATACATGGTCCAAAACCTGTCATAGAAAATACTTCACTGTCCACGGGTCTTTTCCAGATTTGGTCACTCAGATATCAATTTCTTTGTAAAGGATTTAATATATGCCCTTTTTCAAACCCACAGGCTCAGGTGCAAGCATTAGGTTTTAGAAATAAGCCATGCTGGCCACGCTGCCATGTTTCTGTGAAACAAACTAGAGTTAATAAGATTTTCCTTTTGCAGAGAAAAAAAAAAAAACAAAAAAGAGAAACCACATTTAAATGTTTCTAAGGCTGCAAAGTTAAGTATTCTTCAGCTGAAAAATGCTGGAACTGAAACTGCTTATTCAACTTTAATTCAACTATTTATTTTCTTTATTATATACTTTGCAATTAAAAGACCATCTTTTTTTTTTTTTTTTTTTTTTATAAGATGCTGGATTCATCCAGAAAAACTAAGAATAATAAGTAAAAATAGTTTTATGACACTTGCATCAGCTAAATTTTTCCACAACTTAAAGAATTTTTCTTGGACTTCCTTGCAAATACCAAAAAAGCATAAGCTCAGAATGAACTGTTATTAGCATTGGAAAAAATGTAACACCCCAACCTCATTTTCACTAACCTAGATTTTTAAAATGGCTGAAACATTTTTATGTGACTTTGAATGAAAATTCAGCCTGAGGCAAAAAGATGAGCAAGAAAAATTTCATCCTCAATGACTGGAGTGTGGTAAATTTATAAATAATCTAAAATAGGAGTTTATAATGGAAAATTTTAAGGTAACTTAATAATATAATCCAAACTTAATCATATAAGAATATTGCTATCTACTTCACATAAACTTAAAAAGACCAAGAAGCACAGCATTCATGTGAGGGATTTTTCCAAATTTCAGTCATCTAATAGTATATTTGATTTTCATCAAGTGGAAGACAGAGTGAAGGGGGATGTGATTTAGCTTTTCTTCATTAAATTGTTTGAGACAGAGACATTCCCCATTCCAATGTGCAAAAAGAAAGCTTGTAATAAGGAGACACTAATTCCATACCTAAGGGAAGTAAAAATAGTTTCCAGCTGAGTAAGTCTTAAGTCTGCTGCTTAGTATAAAGCTAGGTGATGAGTGCAATAAGCATGAAGCAGAGATTGCTTGCTCCAGCTAACTGACTAAGTGCTTGTCTACAGAGCAACACTCAGGAAAGTTAAGATAAATGAACTAATACAATGAAGTTAGAGTACATTAGTCAGAGAGCATTAAATCTCTGTGTAGATGCTTTTATTCAGAAGTAAAGCAACCTTAGATGGCTATAACTTAATTCTTCTTGAAGGAGCACTCAAAAAAACCTGAACCCAACACCAAAGAAAGGAAAGGGCTTGATCTGGAGAGGGGCACAGGCTCCCAGGTCCATAACAATAATCTAAGGAAATCCCAGCAATTCATGAACTGTGGAGGCACCTGGACTCATTGAAAACCACCTCAATTACCTGTGGAGGGGGAAGAGGCTAAAATTAGATTTAAGTGCAGCAGTCAGACAGTGTTCCCTCCATCTGAACTGAGACTTAAGTTTGACAGGTACTGGTGGTAGTCAAACTACCCACAGCATTGGCTTCACCCTTGGCTGCTGTGAGTCCATACAGCTAAATAAATACTTGATGGCTGTACCTGAGCCACTACAGCTACATCACTGTCTGTACCATGTTACCTAGTTGAAAGTTAACTCAGGTATATCTGTAGACATACTTTTAGAAATCAAGGTAGATTGTGTCAAATGTAAATTTGCCATTTAACTAGCTAATTTTGTCATCTTACTTGGGTTTCTAGTATTCTGTGGATTTGTACGGTTCAGCTCCCTTTATTTAGCTTTGTCAAATACTTATCTTTTGGCTACAGTAAATTAAATTACGGGTATGCATTATATTTGTCTTTATAATCTCATCATTTATCCATATGCTAAAACCCCATCAGATTTAATCTGTGATGTTTAATATTTGCATTATCAGTACGGCCCTAATAGCAAGTTGGTAGGGATAGGAGGGACAGGCATGTTCTACACATAGGAAATGAAACAGTTTTGAAGGGCTTGGAATCAATTTGTCAAATCAGGTTTAATTCAGAGATACTTTCTGAAAAAAAACAGAGAGCCTAGAGCTAATTCAAAAGCATGCAAATATCTGTCCTAAAATCACTGTGGTTTAATCTATGGCTGTCCAGGGTGGCATTTCATCATCACATTGTCTTCTTCCATCCCTCACTCCAACAACAACGTATTAGTGAAGCGTCTTTGGCAAACGTCACACAGTAGATCAATATTTTCCCATTCCTTCTCAATGCCTGTTGTAATCTCAGAAATCCAGGTCAATTCATTTCACTGCTAACATCAGTTTTCCATAAAAATCAGAAATGATCAGTTCATTGGGTTATCACTGGACCTTCTATTAGACAGAAATTATATACTTATATCTACTTCATCTCAATATATCTCAATATTAGGGCCATGAAAATGATCGCGGGGTTGGAGCACCTCTGCTACGAGGACAGGCTGAGGGAGCTGGGGTTGTTCAGCCTGGAGAAGAGAAGGCTCTGGGGGGACCTAATAGCGGCCTTCCAGTGTCTGAGTGGGGCCTACAGGAAGGCTGGGGAGAACCTGTTTACAAAGGCCTGTAGTGACAGGATGAGGGGCAATGGCTTTAAGATGGAGAAGAGCAGATTTAGATTGGAGATTAGGAATAAATTCTTTACTATGAGGGTGGTGGAGCACTGGAATAGGTTGCCCAGGGAGGTTGTTGAGGCCCCTTCCCTGGAGATACTCAAGGAGAGGCTCGATGAAGCCCTGGGCAACCTGGTCTAGTTGGGGGTGTCCCTGCTGACTGCGGGGAGGCCGGACTAGATGGCCTTTGGAGGTCCCTTCCAGCCCGGACCATTCTATGATTCTATGATTCTATATTTTATTATTCTTCCTTGTTGTCAATGCATTGCATAGTTACCTCATAGGCCAACAGCATCCTGGCCTGTATCAGGAACAGTGTGGCGAGTAGGGCCCGAGAAGTGATCGTCCCCCTGTACTCGGCACTGGTGAGACCCCACCTCGAGTGCTGTGTCCAGTTTTGGGCCCCCCACTACAAGAGGGACATTGAGGTGCTGGAGCGGCTGAAAGGAGGCTGTAGAGAGACGGGGGTCGGTCTCTTCTTCCAAGTTACAGATGTCAGGACAAGGGGCAATGGCTTCAAGTTACGCCAGGGGAAGTTCAGGTTAGATATTAGGAAACATTTCTTTACTGAAAGGGTTATCAGGCATTGGAATGGGCTGCCCAGGGAGGTGGTGGAGTCACCACCCCTGGAGGTATTTAAGAAACGTATAGACATGGTTCTTCAGGGCATGCTCTAGTGCCCAAGATTACTGGTTTGTGGTGGGGTGCTGTGTGGGTGGGTGATGGTTTTTTGGTTTGGTTGTTGTTGTGTGTTTAGGTGGTGGGTGGTGTGGTTTTTGGGTTTTTTTTTTGTGGTTGGACTCGATGATCTCTGAGGTCCCTTCCAACCACCACCACAATTCTGTATTCTGTATATTTATTGATAGTGATAGTAATAATTATAACACCGACTTCTTAAACAGCTTCAGAAGCTCAGAGCCTTGCAAGGTCTGTGTATGGCACAAAATGGCAGACTCAGAGGACAGCTGTCCTACCTCTCAGCCTCTCCCCTCCAGGCAACTGCTCCAGCCATCACCCTTGCAGTGGCCCCACACTGAACTCGCCCCAGTTTATTGACGTCTTTCCTTTACTGGGAGGCCCAGAACTGGACATAGTATTTAGGTGTGGTCTCAGGAGAGCCGAGTACAGGGGCATAATTAATCCCTAACCTCCAATGACTGGCCGAGCTCCTGCTCGTGCAGTCCAAGTGCTGTTGGCCCTTGTGAAAGTACTAATACATCAAATACCAAACTGGTACCACACTACTGTTTTGTAGTGAATTTGTTCTTACGTGTACACGTAATCATGAAATAATTTAACTTCAGTGCTCTTAAGCATGAGCAAATGCTCTGGTGAATCATTTCTCAGAGTATTTCTTCTTTTCAGGATTAAATTGATGAAGATCAATAGTTGGACTTAATTGCCAGTAGTTCATAAAATTTTTTAATTAAAAGGAAATTTTAGGGCACAAGTTTGCCTGGCTTTTAATTCTGTAAGAATCTTTCTTATAATTTCAGTTACTTTCATCTGGGATTTGCATTCATTGTATCTATTCCTCATATTTCAGTTTAATCTTTTAAAAATGAAGCTTATGGAAGGAACTCCCTTGTAAATCTGGAGAATTCAGGAGGTTTGACTATTCAAAAATATACTTTAAATTACTTTTAAAACTCTACTGTCCCCATATTTTTGGGTGGAGGACTAAAATTTGTTTAGGATGTTTGCTTCTATTAAAAACATTAATTTTACCTCTAGATTTTTTCTATTAAAAACAATAAAAGATTGTATTTGCATGTGCTTCCTTGAGGTTCTTTAGAAGGTGACAATAAAATTCTCTTCAGATTCATGCCTTTATGCTCTAGCTTAAGGCCAGACAGAATGTTTTCTTGTAATTATTCCTCCTATGTACAAGATGCATTTTTGGGACTAAATATGAAAATGCAAAACAGAAAAAAAATATTTGCCCTGTGCTTCAGTAAGTGATTGTATAATAAAAGACTACATTATCAGGCATATGCATAAAGGGACTTAACTAATGGCACCTGAATGCTTTTTTTTCTGGCTTCTTATAACTTCTTATTAATCATCTGTGTTTTTAGAATACTGTGCTTGAAAAGACCTTACCTGGGATCCCTGGCTAATGGATCTGAGTTCATTTTTGCCAGGCTAGCCCACTGATACTGTAAAAAATTAATTTTCATACAACATGATTTATTAAGTAGTTGGGAAGCAGTTCTAGGCACTGCAGATTACCCTGATTAGCACAGAACTGGAAAGATAGCACTAGAGGTGTAAAGCCCTATAAAAACACATAAAGAATATATACAGAAATTAATTTAATCATGTGAGGGAGGGTTTATGTATATACACACTATTTTTAATAAGCTTCCTTCTGCTTCCTCCTGACATTACTAAGCACAGCACTGGTGCATCAGAGAGATGCTCATCAAATTTTATGTGGCGTAGCCTTTACAGAGGAGGCTTTCTTAGGCAAAAAATCTGCACACACCCCAGGAAATTTCTTTGTTTACACGACCTCTGAAAACCAGTCCAAACCAGTTCCTCTGTGGATTCGTGGAAAGTGCCAGTTAGAGAAGATTAAACAGTCTGAAAAAGAGTAGGTTCTTAAAATGGAGTCCTTTTTTATCTCTGATACACACCTGGCTCACTGTGAGCTACGAATTCCTAACTTGGATGGCACCCACTGGCCTATAAATTTGCTTCGTCCTTGCCCTGCACACTTCATGGCTTTTGCACCAGAGAAAGTTCATCAGCACTCTACTTTCTTGCACCTTGGCTACAAAGAAGATTCCTGGATAAGTCTGGGCATGAGAATTGCATTTACAATATAGCCATATAAACATAAAATGACACTATTTCTTAATGCTAAGGTATATGTGAATTTTTGATTATTTACAGTCTGAGCCAACTGATCTTTGAATGCTTCTATAATTCAACAGTGGTAATGTATGTAGTTAACAAGTAGACTGTATATTACATACATATATGCAGGTAAACAAATAAAAAAAAAAGTTACCCTTCGGTGCTGTTCTTTTTTCCTGTCTCTCTGCTTTCGGTTTATGAATTTCTGGAAATAAAGCAATGTAGAGTTATCAATATTAAAAGAATTTTCACACACAAAAATATCAGATCCATTCTCATAATAAAAAAAACCACCTAGGTGTTTCAAATATTTTAACAGTCATACCTTTATCTTCATATTCATAATCATAAACAATGAAATTCAATTTTATAGATATATATACACACAATACATATGGGATAATTGTAACATTAAGTGACTTCAGTACTTATTATGTTTTTAATTGAGCAACACAGCTACTTTCAAAGTCAAGAATAGGTTTTGCTGATCCGTAACAGCTATACACTAATGTGTTGGTCATGAATCAGAAAAACCATGTTTTACTGAACATTTTTCCTGTATGTATCTTGCGTTGTTAACCAGGATTAGTATTTTATGCTTTTCAAATTATTTTTGGAGGGAAAAAAGTGTTCTTTTTACTTCATTTTCAAAGCTCAAAAGCTCAATTGGTAGCCCCAACACAATAAAAGTAGGCTCAATGCTGTATACCAATTATAAAGATAAAAGTTCTCAGGTTAGGGATCGTTGTCTCAGAAAATGACTCATTTTAATCATGCTGTATACCAACGCACTGAGAACTGCCTTGTTAGAAGAGGAAAATGGTACAATATTTTCCTACCCTTGCTATGCCATCTCTTTGGAACAATATTCCTCACCTGTGACATTGGTATTAAATTAGTGCTATACACCTCTGTAACTGATTTTTTTCCTACTGTCCCTATTGTGCCAAAACCAGGATAATATAAAGAATGCAAAATGCTGAATTTGAGCAAAAGCAAACGAAAATTAAATCAAGCTTGCATAGCACTGTTTTCATATAGTGGTAGAAATTTCAAAGGTATTTATTATAGACATGAAATAAAGTCATTAAGACTATACAGAGTGTCTGGTTTACAGTATTGTGCATATATTTCCTGCAGTGGGAAACTAGTATTAATTACTGGATGCCTTAGTTATTTGCTCAGGTGGTAACAGGATGCACATTCTCAAGGATACAGACTCTGATCTTTGCATAGGTCCTTGAAAATAAATGCAGAATATTTTTATTGGCTGGTATTTGACATATGAAATAATGATTGTGTCTGGTTTGCAAGAAACATAGCTATTCCAGCCTGTGTTGTCTTCAGATAGAGAGAACATTTCACTGAGATAAAGAGTAATAAAGGCCAAAATACGTATCACTGTTAGCCACTTATGTATGGCAGCATAACTAAGCTAATTACATGATGTCATTAAGCTAAAAGGACTTTCTCTTCTGTTTTCATCTTACTCTTCGCAGCCTGGGTGCGTAGTTCATTCATTGCTCCATAATCCTCAAAGGTTGTGATTAGAAAGAAATCATGCCATATTGATTTACTGTATTTCAGCTGAACCTGGATTATTTTCCTTTCTGCATCTATCAACTGAGAGAATCTAGTTACTGGATTTTCAAACTTTTCCCACCTTTTCTGCTTAAAAGGATGCATAAACTATATTTAGGTAGCATAAGTGGTAGAAATGGTGCAAGACAAGAAGAGCGGGAGGATTGCTCTCTGATTCTGAGCACATCCAGACTGCCTCCAAACCCTGACTTCATGCATTTCAAGAAAGCTGAGTCACTTCCTCTGCATTGCAACGTACAGCCCACCCAGCCGAAGAGGTCATCCTGCACACAGCTACAGCAGAGACATACCTCACCCAGCCGAAGAGGTCATCCTGCACACAGGTAGGAATGTGGCCCACTAATCACATTCTTCAGGCAGAGTCATCTATGCAAATACACATTCCTTGATTGCCTTAAGATGCCTCAGCTCTGCTGGGTTCCCACCATCTATTAGGTGTCTCACTACAGAAAACAGGCCTCTTTTTCTTGAAAAAATAAGTATAAACCTTTGCTATTTCTGAAAAAAAACTTTTAAAACTACTGTGGTTTCAGGGAATTTCTTATTGCTAGTTTGACTGCAAAATATATATTAAGCAATGACAGTAGAGCTGCCCACCTAAACCGACCTCACACTGTGTCAGCGGTAAAACTTGACACAAATACTTCAGTAAGGTACATTAAAAGATATTTTCTAGACAGCTGCACCAAGAATCTCATCTAACTTGCACTGCCCACCACAGAAAACCCTACAAAAATTCCTTGACTCATCTAACTTGCTGCTACAATTAGGACTGCACACCACAGAAAACCCTACAAAAATTCCTTGAAGTTAAATACATCTTCATAATACATAAATGTGTGTATATATGTTTTTATATAGTACAAAATGTGCCATCATTAAGTTCTCTTCACAAGCTCCCCATTATAGTTTGAACTATCATAGAAAATTGCAGCCTGGAATACTTCAATTCTGATACATTACAACCTAAATTTTCCCAGCACAAATAAATCTAGTCTCAATATATGCTGATCTTGATCAATTTACAAGACAGAAAATAGTGACTCTTTGCTAACTCCAAAATATTTAAAATAGGGAAACACATTAGATTATTGGAGATTTTTTTTTCTGCTCTGAGAGTTTTGATACTCTCTGCTTCATCTTTTATGACAAATAGCTTTAATTTTCTAGTAATCACATCATATCTTATTGTTGAGTTGACAGAGCGGCTGTAATATCATAAAAGACTTACATGGCCACTTTAAAGCATGTAATTTATCTCTATCAATGTGACACATTGTTAATAAATCTTAAATATTATGAATTCATGTTTAGAAAAATGACAGAATCAAGGAGCAGCAAGGATAATCTTTGTCACCACGGCAACCATCCCGATTCTTTATGAGATGACAGTACGGTTTATTAAATTATTGTAAGGGAGTACGTGTTTTAAAAGCTGTATTCCATTGTTTGTTTTCTTCGGTTATCAAGCAGACATGAAAAATTATCTTTCCCCTCAAATTTCTTGGGTTTTGAATGGATAAGTACTTTATTTCCTTAAATATGGATACTGCTTGACACCAGCTTCTCTAGTCTTCTACAGATATAGAAAACATGCAGGGTGATTATTTTGATAACTCCAAGAAGGGAAGCTAGTAGTCTCCTCACTGACGCAATAAATTATATAGCATTATTCTTAGCTATTTTAACTGTGTTGTGTTATAATAGCACCTGTGGGCCTCAGTCCACATGAACTGCTTTAGGTACCGCATGGAGTTGTAACACCACATGGTTTTCCACCTCTGTAACAGAAGAGTTCAAACTTAAGGAGGGTGATATTTCTTCTCTTGGTGGGAAAGCACTGCCCTGCGTCTGGCTTCATTAGAGGATGAAGTGGCAAGTAGCAATTTGACATTCCTAAAACGGCTCCTAGACCTCACCTTCTGCTGAGTTTCCATCTTACAGATGAAATATACCCTAAGAAAGCCCAACAGACAAATAAAAACAAATCAATGTTATGAGAGGCAAAGTGAGAAAAAAAGGGGATTATTGTCCCCATCTAAAACACAAGAATGCTTTACTCAAGGTAACTCATAAAGTCAGCAAGAGAACTGGGAATTTAACTCTGATCCCTGACATTCAATATTATTCCCTCATGCTTAAAGCCATCCTGTTTCTACTTAAATACTGTAGTCAGGATGCAATGTAGGTTTAATGTATCTACTCTTTAAAAGGTATAATTAAGCTGATGAAATTTCACTTGAAATGAGAGTACATTGTTCTTTCTAAGCAAATCTTACCAGTTGGTTGTCTTTTCCATAATCTCGTACAGGTAACACAGCGATATACACCTTCATTGCTTTGACATTCTTTCGTTTATAAATATCTTTATAAATATCTAAGAGTGAAAAGGAAAACGAGTTCTATTCAGAGGCCTGGTGAAATAGAGGTTAATAACTTGCTTTTGAGCAGTCAAAACCCTTACAGCTATTGCCAGCAATTTAATGGGGCTATATCCTTGCTAGTTTATCAAGACTAATTGGTAGCAGGCAGCTGATTAGCCTGAAGAGTTGGTAGAAACAGATACTGAGGGCAAGGCAAGAGTGAGTGGTGTTAAGAGCTTTAGAAGATGAGAGGGATGTCATTTCTAATGTGTTCCTCGATGCTGTCTGTATGAAGAATTGTAGACAATTCTCTTGCTGCTGGTATACTCAGGAGAAATTTGCAACTGTGCAGCTGATGTCTATTTTTAATCAAGATAGTACCAGGTGGTTAGGGTGACAGTTATCCTTATGGGGCTAGGAGGAGAATAAAGGAATTTGTGCATTAGAGCAACTTCCAGTAACTGCACTCTAGAGGAAAAAAACAAACCCAATTTTTGCAACAAGAAAAAAAACCATGGGAAAAAAAAAAGAACAGGAAATATTTAATTGAGGAATTAAATTGGTGTAGTATGTCTATATCCGGAAACAAAAGACAGTGTAACAGAAGGCTTTAATTACCAGCATTCAGTGTTTGAAATTCTGAGTGACATATATGACTAATTTAGGTGACTTCCCTTCTAGCTTGCTAGTAGCACAGCCTTATCCCCAGTGTTTTCCTAGATCTTGTCTTGTTCTGAGATTTATAGCAACTTCATCTTGGGGTACAAAATAACTTCTCCTGAAGTCACGTGTCTAAGATCTGTCTTGAAAATGTGGCAGGAGTTGAATTGCTTTTTACCGATGAAAATGCTGAATGGTTTGTGTGCTCAACCAATGAGTGAGATACCAGGCCACAGTGCCTCTTAAGTATGGCTTCAAAATTGTTTATCCATCTCTTTGGAAACCACAACTACAATTTAGAGGCTTTAGAGCATACAATTTTCCTTTTGTATTTTGCAGAATTATACAGCGTGTCTTTCACTTGCTGTATAAGACAACTTTTGACAGAGGTCACAGAGGAACATTTCTCATTCTTCTTGGTGAAAACTCTCTGCTCTGGTGTATATTTACCCAAAACAACATGTTGTTCTAAACTGTAAATGTTGCTGTGAAGTGTTTTTGATTGGTTCTAAACCTATTCAGCAAAGCTCAGCTACTTTACCTTAGTTGCCTTTATTCTCTCCACTTGATATTTTGACAT